ACAAAATAAAAGTAAAAAAAATCATGTCAATTTCAAAATAAACACCCTGTGCAGACTCCCGATTGTTTTCACGGTCACATATCTTTGGCAGGAGGCCAGAAATGGACGACGACGAGCGGTTCATCCTCGAAATACAAAAACACATGGCGTGGTCTCGCGAATCCTCCCGCTGCGCTTCTGATCCGCTTCTGGTGTGAGTTGGCACCGCGTGGAGGACGTAACAAAACCTCTTCGGAGCCGTAACGCGCCGCAGACGTGTGCAGTGTAAATAAGGGGTCAGTTTCAACTGAAACATGATGGCTGTAACACTAATGCTGTCCACACAGGATATAAAATCTAATCTAAAAGTCTAATCTTTTCTTAAAGGTTTCCATCAGTTGCTACATGTAACATAAATGTAACTGACTGTACCTGAAATGTAACAGATAAATGTAAACCCAGTTTTATTTGTAGAACTATGATGCACTGCACTGACAATATACAATTCATTCAAAATTAAATCTTAAAGTGCCCCTATTGTGCCATTTTTAAGGTTGCTAATATTGTTTTATGAGTCTCCTAAAACAGATTTACATGCATGCAAGGTCAAAAAACACTTTAGTTTTCTCAAAAATAGATTAAATTTTACCTAATTTCTAAATGGTTCGTAAACGACTCATGCAAAACAGTTCAAAGAATCAGTCTCTCTAAACCCCTCCTTTCTGTGAGCCCTCACTGCTGTGATTGGTCAGATGGCGCAGTCCTTTGTGATTGGTGTGACAGAATGACAGCCCTGGAGACTTGTCAATACATAGAAAAGATGGTATCGATTGTACCTTACCAATTCGAGCCGGAGTCTGATGATGAAACGGTTGAAGTGGCATTCAAAATTAAATCTTAATGTGCCCCTATTATGCCATTTTTAAGGTTGCTAATATTGTTTTATGAGTCTCCTAAAACAGATTTACATGCATGCAAGGTCAAAAAACACTTTAGTTTTCTCAAAAATAGATTAAATTTTACCTAATTTCTAAATGGTTCGTAAACTACTCATGCAAAACAGTTCAAAGAATCAGTCTCTCTAAACCCCTCCTTTCTGTGAGCCTCACAGCTGTGATTGGTCAGATGGCGCAGTCCTTTGTGATTGGTCCAGAGCCGTAGAGAGATTGGCTCTTGATTGGTCTACCGTGTACAACGGAATGACAGCCCTGGAGACTTGTCAATACCAAGCGGCAACCTCCCGCTCTCTCTCGTGAAGCCAACAAGGAAGTGACTTAAA